GAGAACACTGCAAGAACAAGATAAGATGCAATCTAAATACTGCGAATAGGGAATTAAGCACAAAGGAATAGTTACGATTGAAGTGGTAGATCTAATCGACCCGGCAAATCAACACACCAACTATTGGGGGCTCTGAATCTATAGTCGCCGACTAATCGAGCGAGGACTAGAGACAAGGTGAATGGCACTTGGTAAAATTCAACTAAACAAAACTCAAATGTTTTTGAGGATGAACAAAGCTATTTATAGAGGAAAATAAAGCTAGGGTTCAGTGCTAATTCGTGGAGGTGGAGGGTGACACTTTCGAGATGAGCCTAGTCTATTACAAGGCCCAAGGCCTAAGTTCGGTTTCAGCAACAGCACTGTCTTGTTTTGGCGATTCCCGTTGACTCGAGATGAATTTGGACATGAGACCAGATGCGTTTGAAAGGTAGCGATATAAGCTTTCCACGAAGTCCAAGATCACTCAAATCGGAGTTGGCATGAAGGCGCTAGGTCCGTTTGAAGTCAGTGCTGTCTCCGGAGGCCGAACTGGACTTGGACTTGGAATTATCATTGGAGCGTGTGAAGTTATGAGCGTATCCGACGAAGTGATGTCCTCATCACAGCGGCAGCCTCGGAATCGGTGCTGATGGCGGCTACCGTAGCGACATGGGGTGGGTCGAAGCACTATGCAAGCTAGAGTTGGCTACCGTCGCTATGCCCGCCGCCACTCCGCTCAGCACCCTCTACCATCGGTGGCCTTCCAGGCTTGCTGAAGAAGAGAAGAGAAGAGAAGAGAAGAAGAAAAGAGAAAAGGAAGAAATGCGGACTCCACATTTTTTTTCTTTCCACTTACATGTGGGCCCCATTATTTCTTTATTTTCATTTTTTGCTGACTATGATACCACATTAGCGTAACCAGAGATTCATAGCGCTATAGGATCCAAATTGCATGGTTTTGTATAGTTTAGAGGTGGAGATTTCAGGTATTGGGGCTTAGGAATGTCAGGCAGACTTTATGTAAAATTGAGGGACGTCTAGTGAACTTATTCCATAGATAGATGTGCAAGTTAATTGGGCCGTTTATTCTTTCCCAAAGGAACTAGCTATGTCTTTGTCGACAAATCCTTGGGTCAAAATCACCCAGATTTTTTCCTACCGTTAGATTAAGATCCAGAGGACACAAAAAATGCTACATATTTTTTTCTCTGACTAGTCAGATCACAAAACTACATGGACTCGAATTCTAGCCCATAGAACAATACAAAAAATTATACAGGCCATAACTGCAAATACATCACGGCCCATAATGATCAACTTCACATCCAATAAAGGTCAGAAAAAAAACAAAATAACACAGGGAGACCACACCAGTTCGCACAAATCCCCTAGATCGAGCAAAACAAATCGAGCACGCCATAGACAGTGAGGAGAACGAGAAAAAGAAGAAGAAGCAAATTCTTACCAAGAACATTGAGGTCAAGAAGTTGAAATCAACAAGACATAATCTTCCAGGTAACAAATTACCTAGCACAAAATCCACCTTTACCTTTCCCCATTGACTTCACCATATTCTGCCAGTCATCTTTTAAATCAAACAAAAACAACTCAGTTCTGTAAAAATATTGGAGAAAAGCACTTGGAATAGTGAATTTCTTTTGGAGAAAAGTGCTTGGAATAGGAAATTTCTTTAGATCAAGTAGTTAAAAGTATGTAACTTTTTCAGAAAAACTCGTAACAAAAACTATCAATCTATAGTCAGTTACAGTTACAAATAACAAAAGTTACATATATAACTACAGTACATCTAAACTGTAACTGGGCTGTAAATGGAATCATTCTTAAATTTCTTAAAAAATTCAGTACTTATACTGCGACATTAAAACATTTCCCCAATTATAACAAACTCTAAATTATGTTACAAATATATAAAGAGCTATCTATCTATAGTCAGTTACAGTGAGACATAACAAAAGTTACAGATGTAACTACTGTACATCTAACTGTAACTGGGTTGTAAATGGAATCATTCTTAAATTTCTTTAAAAATTCAGTATTCATGCAGCAACATTAAAACACTTTCCCCTAGTATAACAAGCTCTAAATTATGTTACAAATATATAAAGAACTATTTATCTACGGTCAGTTACAGTGAGAAATAACAAAAGTTACATATGTAACTACAATACATATAGACTGTAACTGGGCTAAAACTGCAAGCATGCTTGAATTTCTTCAAAAAATAAAGAATTTCTTCAGAAAAGGAGTCACTTTGTCACAATGGACTGAAGATTTTCCTCAAGTGAAAATCATCTTCAGACAGTGGTGTTTAACAAAGCACAACAATTAGATTAGAGCCTAGGATAAAAAAAAAACAGAGCATTGTGGTCCAAACGGTCATATCTCCAGTTGTGTACAAATTTGCCCATATATTAAATTTTGTACATAATTTGCACATATCTCAAACTTCTGTGCACATATATTAAAATCACTCGACAACAAGATGTGACAAGTTAGCTGATGCAGAAGGGAATGGACCAGACAGGGTGTTGTTGTTGAGCCTCCCGATTAAATTTCACAGCAAATGAGTTAACTGACTAACAAGCTCCACACATAATTAACATGGGAACAATATTGGGATGGGACGATGGGTCATTCAGAATAAAGAAGAAAAAAAATCATACAGATATTTCAGGCATGTGAATACCTCCAGGCACCCAAGTGACCTTGGTTTTGCTACCATTGAAATGCATTAGATCAACATTAGACTGAAACCCTCCAAATTATTTTTCAGTTTGCTGAAGTATGAGATTTTAAAAAGCTCATGTCGACTGAAACTGTTCAATAGCCTGCTCCAAGATTCAAAAAATACTGACAATTCAAATAGATTTACGAGCGTGCTATCCCCTGTTCCCAATTCAGAAATAGTGCCAATTATGTTCCCAAGTTCAGAAATAGCGCCAATTCAAACAGATTTACGATTTACGAGCGATTGACAATGAACAAAAGTTCAGAAGAGAAGAAAGAGCAGATGCAACCAATAGCCCATAATTTCTCAAAGCAACAGGGACCAAGTTCAGGTATTGGCTTGCTGCTAACTCATTTAGATCAGCACTGAAAAGTTCAGAACATGTACAGGAATTTTATAAACCAAATAGTACAGTAGAATACAATCTGAAGAAAGCAGAACGCATGTAGGGGTTTGGGTTTAATTTAACCAAGCAACTCAGCATACTGGGAAATCAAACCGTACATCTCTGAAACGAAATGATTCATATGCTGCAGAAGGCAACACAAAACATACTTGGGGTTCAGTTAGCATGCATATGTAAAACGAAATTCTTCAGATGCATAAGAATTCAGATATATGCAGGGAGTTGACAGATAAATCATCTCTGAAACGAAATGCTTCACATGCAGAAAAATTCAGACTCATGCAAGGAGTTTAACAGATCAGTCAACTAATCACTGAAAGTGAAATGCAACATTCAGATAAAGTTGCAATGATGCTTCCCTACTATATTCAAATCACACATAAATCAAAGCAAAAATAATCAACTCATGAATCTGACCCCCTCCCTGAAGAAAATTCATGCAGGGATCCAAAAAATGATCAACTATCTGGGTGATTAGAAAAAACCCCTAAAACCACCTCGAATTAAACCTTTAACTCCATCAAATACCCCTGAATCCAACCCCCAACATGAACACCCCTGAAGAAAAATCGAACCAAAAATACAAAAACCCTCGTGGATTAGAAAAAAAACATAGAACACCATCGAATCTGGTCGTTTGCAAACAATGGACTAGTAACAAAACACCCTAGACTGAACTGAATCAAACTATAACTAAAAACTTAGGGAATCCAAAATCTAAACGGATTCCAAAACTAAAACAAGTGATTCTGAATCAGATCCATACGTTGGGAGCAAAAAAAATCGTCATATATTGACCCGAATCTTCTAAACCTAGCCCTATTGACATTGAAAAAACCAAAACACAAGCTAATGATGCCAGCAAATCAGGGAAGAAACTCAAAAAAAACTCTCTCTCGAGTTGTCTCCCCCAGCGAGCGTGCGCGCTCTCTCTCTCCCGCCGGGGAGCTGCTCGTGCTCTCTCTCGCCGGCGAGCTCTCTCTCTCTCTCGACGGAGAAAACGAGAAGAGAAAAGAAAGAGGAGAAAGAGATTTAGAGAAAGAGCGAGAATAAAGAAAGAGAGCGAGGAAACAACCAACGGTTACGGACATAATAGCGCGGAATCCAAAATTTAACATGGGTTGGCCCACATTGACTCCCAGGCCATCTGCTCACACGCCACACGGTCTCATCCACACAGGGAAATGCACGAATCATGGCGCAAATCCTACGGATAGAAAAACGACAAATATTGGGGGTGAAAATCTGTTGACAAAGATCTAGCAAAATCGTTCCCAAATATGCAGAGTAAGCCTTTCACCAAAAACTTCCCCACTGGATGGTAAATTTACAATTTTGCAGAGGTTGATCCTCGGTGACAATTATGTGCAATTAGCTTGATTCACGTCGAATTTGCAGGTTGTTTAATTTTCTGGATCAATGGTCCAGTTTGTTGGGCTGTTTACTAGTACTACTGAATTATGCAGAGAATGTGGCCCCGCCCCGAATTCAGTAAGCCTTCCACCTTAACTGCCATGTTCGTGCTAAGCCTGCAATTTTGCAGGCAGATGATCCTCCTCTTCCCTCGCCGAAATCAGCATGGTACCCAATTGTGCGAAATTTGCTTGATTCAGGTGGAATTTCCTTTCCTATATGGGTAAGGACTTGAGACCCGTGTTTAGTCTTTTAGTTTATTTAGTGCGTTTCACGTTTTGTTTGTCAGAGCTGCAGTCTGCATGGTAAGAATCCGCAATTGATGCATCGTTACCTACTAGTAACTGCCAAATTCTAATCGAGTTACCACTAGAAGAAACCATGTAAAATCTGCAAATCCATTTGATGCAAATCATGCTTCTATCAGGAAAACAAATCACTGCAAACACATGATGAACGGCATGCAGCATTGATGCAATCCATCAGATCACACACATTCACAATTCAGACTTGGAAACATTTTGTGGTAGAAAAGGGAGAAATTAATACTACTATCCAGCATTTGTAGCAACTGTACCAATCCACGATTATGACATCAAATTTTGACTGAAACTGTAACTGCATTATCCTTGGCAGCAAGAGGACTGAAACTGAAACTGCAATTGCAATCTTGAAGCAAATCTTGAACAAATTGACAGCAAGAATACCTGTACCAGGACGGGACGATCGATCAAACTAACATAACGGGGTAGAAGCCACGCCGGCGGTGAGTAGTTCGACGGGACTTGCTCCGGCAAAGAACTTGGCCGCTGGCAACCACGTTGAAGTCGGCGGCCGGATAGTCGTCCGCATTGTACGATCTGCACTGCAGCGACGAACAGGAACAGCATCCGCCCACCCAGCGATTCCAAGCACCCTGAACGCGCGCGGACGTCTTCGGCGGATAGGGGAGGACATGGGTGCAGAGTGGTTGATGGCGGCGAAGGTTGTGGAGACTGAGGAGCGCGTCGTGTGGCCCAAGGAGATGAAGACCCAGCCACCGTCGTAGTAGCCCAAGTAACGCGTGGCGCGTGCGTCGTCCTGGAGCGCGTGGGTGGCGCAGCCGGCGAGGGTGCGGCGCGCCGGACGAGGATCGACGGGGATGGCTGGGCGCGCGCCAATTGTGGCAGACTTGGTCCGCCGGTGGAGGAGCCAAATGTGGGCGATCCTGAGCAGCATGGCGTAGCCCTCGCCAACGACGTCGACGTGGTCCTTCCACGCCCTCTCGCCTCGCCCCGCCCCGCCCGCCGCGTCGAGGTGGAGCAGAGCAGGTTGCGGTTCCGCGGGTGGTGCACCGCCTCTCCCCGCCCGTGCCGGGTATCCAGTACGCCAAGGACGACGGTGGGGTGTCGGGGTGGCCGTGGCGCCCTTGGACGACCAGCGGGGCGCGAGTAGCGCCGCCGAAGCCGCCGCGCCAGATGCCGCAAATCAGGAGCAGCCGCGGCGTCGCTGGAGATCGGCATGGGTGAGGTGGTGCCCGGGAACGACGTGGAAGCGGACCGCGCGCCGAGACGGAGTCGTCGTGGCCTTCACCGACGAAGATGGCCTGGTCGTCCAGCGCGAACAGTGTCATGTTCGCCAACCTCTCGAGCTCGGCGAACATGACGCGCGTGGCCAGCGCCACGAAGCCGTAGTGGTCGATGGCCTCGCGGATCATGATGCGCACCACGGAGGCGGCGTTGATGTGGTGTTGGTGGTGGCGGTGACGATGATGCAAGCCGTGGGAGAGCGCGCGGTGGCAGGGGCGGTGGAGAGCTCGGAGCAGGGGAAGCCGGGAAGTAGTCCAGGGCGATGTGCTCCTGTAGGACGCAGCATCGCCAGCGCGAGGAGAGCACCCTCCCGTCGTCGTGTTCGTGGTCGCGGCAGGTTCATGGAGTGGCGGCTGCGACGGCGCCGTGGAGTCCAGATCTGACGGCTTGGCGAAGGGAGGAGGAGGCTGTGCGGCCGCTGCTTGCTACGGGGAGTCGATCAGCGTCGGGGTTGCCTCCTGCTCCTCCGCCGCCGCTCCTACAGCAGCGATGGCAGGCGCGGCGGCGAAGTGGTCGAGCAGGTGCAGCGACTGGGCGTCCTCCGCCTCGATTTGGGCGTGTTCGCGGCGGAGCGGTGGTGCCGTGGGGGCAAAGCGGGTGGAGGGGGACGGCCACTCCTCATCCCGCCGGTGAGTGGTGGTGGTGGTGGTGGGACTTGGGAATGGGACGCGGCGGTGGTTAATGAATGAGAGTGAGGAGGAGGGAAAGGGAAGAGAGAGAGAGAGAGAGAGAGGCGGAAGAGGAGGAGAGCCATCGATGCGGGCTTTTGGAAAAGGATCCAACTCGCGGGCCGGGTATTTTCTTGCGTAAGGAGCCAAGGAGGTGGTGGCCTGTTTTTCATCCTTGTCCATCTTTTCGTCTCTCTCGAGAACATCCCGTATCTTACTTGTCACGAAAATAGTCATATTTTTTTCTAAACAAATATTAACAAGATAGATTAATATAAATTATACCACTTCATAAGCATGCATATTAATATAAAACTAGTTTAATCTATCTTGTTATTGTTTTAATTCACGTTCAATACCGGAGACGTATAGCTTGTTGAATATAAAATTGATGATGCTTTTAATTTTAATTTTGTGGTTATGTTTGAAGTTGAACAATTTTGTTGTTTGATTATATTGGTCACCAAATGAAGGATCGATCCATGGATCCATCGTTTGTTTTGCGTTTTAATTTGCTATATACCACATTAGCGCCGGCCCGTACGTTGTGTGTGTACATGTGCATGCGTAATAATCTTGCCGACGTGGCGCCACATGACGTCCGTTCGCCCAGTCTGCGCGCGACACGTGTCCTACCTGGGCCCGCTCCACGCGCCAGTTGAGCGCCTGTGCCAAGACAAATATATGGGCCGAGTCCCTGCACAAAAGGAAGGGGATTTGTTGGGCCTAGCCCAACTCTCTTTCATTCAAATGCCCAAGCGCCCCCGGCCTGTATAAAGGCAGCTACGGCTACCCATCTCTCTCTCTCTCTCCAGTCTCCTCCTCCTTCCTTCTTCCACCTCGCTCCCCTTCCAATCCCTCTCTCCCCCACCGTTTCTCCCTCCCGCCCGCCATCCATGGCGGCCCGAGCGGGCTCCCGGCCGTGGTGGGAGGCGTTCACGACGAACGTGAAGAACCAGGGGTCGCTGGTCATCGACATGCTCAAGCAGCTTGTTCATCGGGAGGAATCGGAGTCGCGAGACGAGGAGAAGCTCAAGGAGGTGATCCTCGAGATGAAGGAGCAGAGCAACAAGAGATTCGCGGGATGGTTTCGCTCAGAGCTGGCCAAGGAGTGCTGGAGGGAGCACCTCCATGGCGCTTCTATCCCGTTCGAGACCTTCCATGTCGAGCCCCCGGCCGCTGACTTCTCCTCGTCGTCGTCCTCCTCCGCCGCCGCCGATCACCGTGGCGGATCGGTCCTTCCGGGCGACCTTGAGGTTATGCATGCGGAGAGCACCGCCAGGCTCGAGGCCTGGGGGTTCGAAGTCCTCGAGAAGATGAGGAGGGAGCAGCTGGTCGAGTCGGTTTCTGGGTTCCAGGATTACTTCGACACCGCGCCCTCCACCGGCACGAACGACGACGCCTCCTCCGTCGACCACTGCGTCGGCCCGATCCTCATGGCGCTCCAGAGCAACCTCAGGTCCGCCCGCTTCGCGGCGTGGGCAAACTCGGCATGGGCTCTCGCGGCGGCGGCAGCGGCGGTCGACGACGACGACGAGGGGAGTTGGATGGAGCCCCGCATCGAGCCGGTGCTGGCTTGCGAGCCCCCCGACTACTTCGACTCCGACCCAGCTCCCCCCACGCCGCCTCCTTCCTCGACGCCGACCACCGCCAGGCCGCCTCGTCCTCTTCCTCCCGCGTTGCCGCCGCCACCGTCGACAGCTACGCCTCCACCTCCTTCCCCGACGCCCATCAGCGCGACCCCGCCGCCACCATCGCCGCCGACCACAGCGAGGCCACCGCCTCCTCCTCCCGCATCGCCTCCGCCTCCGCCTCCGCCTCCGCCTGCCACAGCGACCCCGCCGCCACCATCGCCGCCGACCACAGCGAGGCCACCGCCTCCTCCTCCCGCATCGCCTCCGCCTCCGCCTGCCACAGCGACCCCGCCTCCGCCTCCCTCGACCAGCACTACGTCCATCGACATCGAGACGTGGGTTTCCATTGGGGTCCTCGCTGTGGTACTGATCGTTTTGATTCGCACCTGACCTAGGCCCGCAACGATGGAGGCGGCGCCACTAATCTGTCACCCAGCCCAACGACGTCCGCATCAACTCGCGCATCGCCAATCTCTCCGCGCCTCCGCCGACCGCCGCGGCGATCTCTAACATTTCTCCATCCGCGAAGGGCAATTAATGATCGGGTGAGATGCTCTAAGTTATAGCTGACTGGTAGGATCGGGATGAGTTCGAACTATGATTCACGCAGTTGGATTAGTTACTGGTTGAAATGAGATTTTTGAAAGCATTTTCAGCGGCGATTTGATGGCAAGATGCTGCGTTCATTTGAAAGTATTTCTGTTTAATTTGTCAATCTGGGTTGCTCTGTTTTTGACGCAAGGAAGGTTACTCTGTTTTGATGTTTCCTTTTGATGCTGCTGCTAAAATTTGATTTGTTTGCTGATGTGATGTGCTACGCTAACTTTAGTTCCTGCACCATTTTACCTTACCTTAGTACGTACATCATTTTCCTGACATCCTCTGCCTGCCCTGATGGAACAGAACAGTAGTGATTTTAAGTCCGAATGTTGGTTGTGTTAAACATAGTACGATCGAATACAGTTGTTGCATGATGGATTCAAATTCTGCAATGCAGTGGCTATATATCTCCCTCCCATTTATGATCTACAACTTGTTGTGTTTAGTTGATGCAATTGGTAACTGCATGGTTGCGCATGCACTCCGTCGCCGCCGTTGGGTTTCCTCCAGCACCGCAAAGATCCCTCGCCACCGTACCACACCACACTAGTACAGTATATATTATGGGAGTTTCATCCCAAATTAAGGAGGGACTCGTCCAATTTCGAGAGCGAGGCGGAAACGCCCAATTCAATCGATCCGGCGGCGGCCTCAATATATCTCGTCGCCGGCCGCCCTCTCCATATCCAATCCAATCCAATCCGCTCCGCCTAGACCTCCACCTCGATCCCTTGGATCCTCGGCAACTTGCCTCCCGCAACTGCCGCGCTTGCACCCGGCCGGCTTCCAGCTCCCGCTCCCGATCCCGCTGCTCTCTAGAGCACGACAAGACAATCCGGTCGATCGAGTGTCGAGTCGACCACGGCGGCCCGCTCCGTCGTCGCTCGCCTGTCTTGCTAGGACCTCCTTCCCGTGCCGCCTCCCCACCTTTCTTCCCATCTCCTTCAAGTCAGGGAACGGCGCTCCTTCAGGGCGACGCGCAGCGGGCTGGAGGCGTGGCTGGTTGCGTGGAGAGGGGCGGGGGACAACGAGGAGAGGGGCAGCGGTCGCCGACGGGAGGCTGCGTCGTAGGGTGGCAGTCGGACCGGAGTCGCGCGACTGTCTCGCGGCCGGCCGGGGAGGAGTCAGCGGCGACCTGGAGGCGTTGACGGCGGAGCACCTGTGCATATATAGTGACGTAGCAGGTCCGGAGCTCGCGGAGCTTGCCAAGGTAGTCGAGGACGGAGACCATGTTCGCTGTAGTTTGAGCATGGATTTGTGCTTTTTGTTTTTTTTTCTTTTCATGATTTGCTCGCTGCAGTTTGAGCAGGATCTCTGATTTTCTAATTTGATTTGTCCTTTGCTCGCATATTGATATTGAAGGATTTAGCCTAAAAAATTAATATGCCCGGTGACGAACGAGCAGGATTTATGATTTACTTGCATATTGCAATCCTATCCAATCTTCTGGACATGCGATGCGATGCGATGCGATGCTTGTCGACACACCGCACGGCGAGGTGTTCTCGACTTTGTTGGAGATGACGAGGGAGCAGAGGTACTCAGCACGCTCGCGCATGACGTCGACGGTGGCGAGGAGCTCGAGGCCATTAGGCGTGAGCTTACGAACGCCGTCAGCAAGTCCAGTCCTAGATATGGAGTTGTTGTGGTGAGCTTCGGCGAGCTGCGCCGTGGAGGAAGAGGAAGGTGGGTGGCCATGGGCGTCGGCGAGAAGCTCGAGGAAGGAGGAGGGAAGGTCGGCGTCGTCTTGTTCCTCTTCTGCCAGCCGCCGATTGCATCTAGGGAGAGAGGAGAAGGGGAAGGAGGCTGGCAACAGCCCCTCTCCGCCGGCGGCCATTGCCGATAGAGAAGGAAGAGAGAAGAGTTGGCACCGACACGTGGGACCCGTGTGGGGCTCACTTGCCACGTCAGTTAAAACTGGCCATGATAATCCACGTTGACATGGTACTGTGAGTTGGAGGATGAGGTATACCCGGCATTGCGATTAGGGATGGATTTCAGATTGGGAAAAGTATACCGGAGGTCCCTGAACTTGTCACCGAGATTAAAAAACGTCCTTGAACCGCAATACCAGACACTCGGGGTCCTCCAACTATACAAAACCGGTCACCCAAGGTCCCTTGGTGGTTTTGACCCCGGTTTTAGTCACGTGGCAGCTGAATCAGCATGGGACCCACGTGGGCCCCACATGCCAGGTGTACACGTCATCTCTCTTTCCCCTCTTCTCTCTCTCTTCCTTCCCTCTCTACTCTCTCTCTCTCGCGCAGGCCGGGCCGATGGGTAGGGAGCAGACCGAGACGGCTGGGCGGCGAGCGATGCTGAGCGGCGGCGCCGCGACGGCGGCCGGCGGACGGCGGCGGCGGCGGCGTCGTCGCCCTCTTCTTCTTCTCCCGCTCCCTAGACCTTGTCGCTCCCTCTCCGTCCTCATCTCCCTGGACGCCATGGACCGGGTGCTCGCGCTCGACGTCGCCTACCAGCTGCCTCTCCTCCCCGCCATGCTCGACAAGTTCCCCAAGGTCGTCGAGCCCGCCCGATGGTGGCAACCGACCAAGAAGAAGCAGCAGTAGTAGCGCGCGGGCCAGCGAGCCACTGCCATGGCCGGGAACTGCTGGACCCAAGAGCTGGAGGAGGAGATGCGCGGCGTTCATCGTCTCCGGCGAGGCCGGAGTGTGGGCGTCCGGCGTGGCCGTCCTCTGCGGCGCGCTGGCCACGGCGAGGCGCTAGCCGGCGCCGCCACGCTCGCCGCGGCGTTCATCGGCTCCGGCGAGGCCGGAGCGTGGGCGTCCGGCGTGGCCGTCCTCTGCGGCGCGCTGGCCACGGCGAGGCGCTAGCCGGCGCCGCCACGCTCGCCGCGGCGTTCATCGGCTCCGGCGAGGCCGGAGCGTGGGCGTCCGGCGTGGCCGTCCTCTACGGCGTGCTGGCCACGGCGAGGCGCTGGCCGGCGCCGCCGCGCTCGCCGCGGCGTTCATCGGCTCCGGCGAGGCTGGAGCGTGGGCGTCCGGCATTGCCGTCCTCTGCGGCGCGCTGGCAGCGGCGGTGAACACCGTGGAGCACGGCGGGCAGGTGGGCATGGTGTTCAAGCTGTGCCGCAACGTGGCCGGCATCTACCGAAAGATCCAGGAAGACATCAAGGCGAACCTCAAGGAGGCCGACGTCGAGCGGAGGGAGAACGGCGAGGTGTTCGAGACGAAGGTGGCGCTGCAGCTCGGCCGGAGCACGTCGGAGCTCAAGCAGTTCAGGGCAATAGCCTCGCCGGCGGTCAAGGACGAGGACATCAAGGAATTTGCCGGGGCGGGAGGGAAGGAGGACCGGGCGGAGCCCGGGTCGGTGCCGCCGCCGTGGTGGTGGTCACAGTACTCCACGACGCGGGCGAGGGCGGCGCCCTTGACGACTTCGGGGAGGTTGACGACGACGTCGTCCTCGCCGCCGCCGCCGCGGCCCTCCTCGAGCATCCTTCTAATCGTGCCCGATGCCGCGGTGATCACCTTCGATGAGGACGGAGCGGGAGCGGCAGGGTCCAGGGAGTGGGAGAAGAAGAAGAGGGCGCCGCCGCCGCCGTCCGCCGGCCGCCGTCGCAGCGCCGCCGCTCAGCCGTCTGCTCCCTACCCGTCGGCCTGGCCTGCGAGAGAGAGAGAGAGAGAGAGAGAGCAGAGAGGGGTGGAAGGGAGAGAGAAGAGGGGAAAGAGAGATGATGTGGACACCTGACATGTGGGGCCACGTGGGCCCCACGCTGACTCAGTTGCCACGTAGATCAAAACTGGGGTCAAAACCACCGAGGGACGTTGGGTGACCGGTTTTCGGTTTTGTATAGTTGGGGGACCCCGGGTGTCTGGTATTGCGGTTCAAGGACGTTTTTTATCTCGGTGACAAGTTCAGGGACCTCCGGTATACTTTTCCCTTTCAGATTCAGCAACAAATTCAGGGAACTAAGGTAAACTTATTCCTGACTACTACAGTATCGTGCAGTACTGTGCTGGGCTGCTGCTTTGCTTTGTGGGCTGGCTGATGGGCTGCGTTTGTTTTTTTGTTGGGCCGGCCTGCTGCTGTTTGGCTAGGCTGCTTGCTAGCTTTCTCCTTTTTTTTCGTTTCTCTTTTATTTGTGGAGCATCAAAATCACCATCACGCATCCGGATTCACAGATTAGTGGCGAAATATCGTGTGGGCCCATGCTTTAATGACGGACGAAAAAATAACCGGAAGCTTTACCTATTTTTTAATTACTAGCAAAATGTCAATGCGTTGCACCGGATAATGATATGGTGACTTTGATTTGAACTATTTATATGAAGAAAATGAATTGAAATATTTTTTGATTTGAACTATTTATTTGATTTGAAATTTTCTTGGAATTTACATAGCTTAATTGCTAATTTTGATAATACAAATATCATTTCAGCATTTATTTAAATAAAAATTATTTTTTCTCTATGAGCCTTTTTCAGCCCATTTTCTTCTTCAGCCCGCAAGCGACCGACGGCCCGCGTGCGGCCCAAGTGATGCAGCCCAAGTGGTGCGGCCCAAACTCTCGATCGATCTCAACCGTTCGTTTTCGTTTTGATGGACGGCTCAGATCAGTTTGAAATTGATAAGAACCCTAACCCTCCCCCTCCCTCCCAGCCGAGCCGAGCCGGCCGCCTCCCCCCCCTCCCCATCTCCCCACCGACACCGCTTCCCCTCCTCTCCCCTCCGGCGGCGCCGCTCCCTCTCCCCCTCTCCCGCCTCTCCCCCTCCCCCCAGCCGACCGCCTCCCCCGCCACCGGCGTCGTCTTTCCCCCCACCGGTGCCGCTTCCCTTCTCTTCTCCCTCCCTTCTCACCGGCACGGCGCGGTGACGGCGGGGTGCGGCGGAGACGGCGCCCTCCCAACGGCGGTGTCGACGGCGTCCGCGCTCCCTCTCCCGCTCTCCTTCCTGTCTCGCCGGCACGGTGTAGCGACGACGGGTGTGGCGGATTTTTTTTGCAATTTTTTCCATGGCTATTGCTAACCAAATTGGATTGTGTACAGATGAAAATTAGATGTGACGAAAGAAAAAATACTAATATTTATATTAGTTATAGATATAGATAGTATCAGGCAAGCCTCCTATTTAGGTGGTATTATTCGTGCTACAGTGCTCATTTGCTACGGTATCACACAGAACTATGTTGTACTGGGCTACTGCTTCTCTGCTCTGTGGGCTGGCTACTGGGCTACGTTTGCTTTTTGTTGGGCCGGCCTGCTGCCGTCTTGGCTGGGCTGCTCGCTAGGTTTTTCTTTTTTTCGTTTCTCTTTTGTTTGCGGAGCGTCAGAGATCGATCGCCGTAATGCATCCGGATTCACGGATTAGCGGCGAAATAATCACGTGGGCCCACCCTTTAATGACGGACGAAAAAAATCAACCGGAAGCCTTACTTATTTTTTAATTAGGTATAGACTAGAAAAAATGCCCGTGCGTTGCTACGGGTAAAAACGTTTTTTATCCTATACATTATACTCCCTTGGTTTTGGACCGTTTTGGACCGGACGTTCATTTCTTCCTTCCTTTTCAGCTCTAGTCCTAGAGTAGTCCGCTACCTCTATCTACTCGGCCTATCTCTCTTCGGCTCAGCCCACAAGTGGAGCTGTAGCCCTAGCTCGAACAGTCCCATGCCAGGCCTACCACTCTTCGGCTCAGCCCACAAATACAGCTGTAGGCCTAGCTCGAACAGTCTCGTGCCCGTACGATGACGGAGCCGATCCTCCCATCAAATCCGGTAATATGGTCGAGCTCGCATAGTACCGTCCATACGATGGCAGAGTCGATCCTCTCCGTCAAATGTGGTCGAATCTTTCTCGATCTCCAAAATTGTTGAGAGATTTTGATCTATTCGATCCCCTTTTTCATTTTTTTTACCAAAATCGAAGCAATCCTCAAAACTTGAGAAAAAATGATGAACTGAAAGGGAAATTTAAGGGGAAAATGATGAGAGAGTAGTGGAGAATAGGTTTTTGCAATCAATTGGATGAGGAAACACATAAAGATGCAAATCGACATGGTGGCGGTGCTAGGGTTCGGCCCGACGAAAAAACCGCAAAAAAAAAAGCGAAACCAGAAAAACGGTGCAAAGAAAATAAAACGGACGAAAAAACACGTTAAAAGGTGAAAGAAAAAGGCGACGAAAATAAAATAAAACGGAAAAGAAAAAAAAAGGAAGCGGACAAAAAATTTTATTTCATTTTTTTGCCGTGCCGGGCTTCCTTTTTACAATCGCCCACTTTTTTTCCACTTTTTTTGTCAGTTTTTTTGTCGCACTTTTTTTTTCCAATTACAATCGGACTATTTTTTATTATCTTTTTATTAACGGACGAAGGAAGCATCTTAAACTTTTTAAGTAGTAGTAGACTGAAAAAAATGCCCGTGCGTTGCAACGAGTGAAGTCTATTTTAATCTTATTATTGTTATATGGTTTAGTTAAGATGAAATTTACCGTGGGAGTTCGCTTGGATATATATATTTTTAGAAAATCATCAGATGTAGCTAGGAGTCTGATCATGCGAGTTTTTTTAAATAGATTTCTTATATGATTCCTTCTGTATTACCAAAAGTGAATTATCTTAAAAACCGACTCAAATACATATATGTATTTCTAAAAGCAAACAAACTTAAAAACCGACTCATACACGGATGACGTACCGAAATACCGGCAAAAACATCTTTAATTTTTATAATAGTAGAGAGGTAGGTAGGTATAGATCTTAACTAATATAATATAATAATTAAAAGATTCGTATTTTTCCTTTCGTGACCTCGTTTGTGCCGTGATTTTTTGTCCCCCAAACACCCCCCCCCAAATCCAGTCGGAATTCCATCATCGCACAAACAGAATCGCACGCACACCTTCTCTCCAAATCTCAAATCATCACAATCCAAATAAAAACAAAATCCCAATCCAAATCTAAATCGGAATCATAAAAAAAAACATCCAAAATATTAACATGAGATGACGAGATGAGATGGAGGGGTGAGCCGGAGGCCGCCGCGCGCTGCTCCTCGCAACCTTGCCGTCGGCCCGCCGGATCTAGCGAGGAGAGGGGCGACGGCCATTGCTCGACGAGGAGAGAAGGAGCCGGCGCCAGATCTGGCGAGGAGCCACCACCACCGCCGCTTGTGGGGAGGGGCGCGGAGAGGCGCCGCCGGTGGGGGAGGGGTGCCAAGAGGCGTCGCCGGTGGGGGAGGGGCGCGGAGAGGTGCGCCGGTGGGGGAGTGGCGCGGCCGCCGGTGGGGAGAGAGGCGGCGTGCGTGGAGGGGAGGAAGGGGAAAACTAGAATTAGGGTTAGGGTTATTTGATCCGGGGGTTTCGATGAATTAGGAGCCGATCTGAGCCGTCCATCAAAATGAACGGCTTAGATCGCTCCCACGTCGGGCTGGCCTCCATCATCGGGCCGCATCACTGCTGGGCCACGCTCGTTTCATGGGCTGCACATAGATCGGCTCGGTTATGGGCTGAAGAATAAAATGGGTTGAAAATGGCCTAGAGAGAAAGAAAGTTTTTTATTTAAATAAATGTTGAAATAATATTTATATTATCAAAATTAGCAATTAAGCTCTGGAAATTCCAATAAAATTCCAATGAGCCTAATTAATCATGGAGAATTTAATAAAATTAATTCCAACCATATCATTTTATTTATCACACTTACTTTACTTGTAAACTAATTTAATTATACACCTAGCTACTTGAAAAATACCCAGATATTTCAGGAATTTGTATTTCAATTAATAATTACATAATGTAAATCTTTCTCAACTTTTCCTCAATTTTCTGTCTTTACACTTCCCGTTGCAACGCATGTGCACTTTTGCTAGTAGATATAGATAGCATATCTTAACTAATTAAAAAATTCGTAACTTTCTTTTTGTCACCTCTTTTTTGTCCGCTTTTTCATCCGTCAACGCGCTAATTTGGTTTAATACGGGAGCGATTTTCACGGATTTCCTTCTTGAAGGAAAAGATAGAGCAGGAGATATAGATCAAATGCCCTCAACTAATTTGAGATTACCTCCACGGCTTTGGTTGATTCGCACGGGGGATTGGGGTGGATCGGGCTCTGGCTCGGTTGGAGCTTAAAGAAGCTGCTGCAGCAACAGGAACTTAAATTAGACTTCTGCTGGGACTTCTTTTCTTAGGCCCGACTGAAGAACGACGCAAACTGGACTTTAATGGAGAAAGGAAAGAGACCAAAAACAGAGAAGAGAGAGAAGGGAGAGAATATGGACTTGTACATATTCGGCCCAAACCAGAAAGGGAGGATTTTGATTCTTTTTCCAATTAAATAATTGGTGAAATGATCTTTCGTTTTTTTTTTGGTTCATGTTCTCAAACCCTAGCTGTACCCCAGAAAACGGTTCAGTTTGCTGACCCGTATGAGGTCATGATTTGAATTAAATCTAATTCTAATTATAAAGATAAAACTTATATTTGATCAATCTACATCGTTATATCTAAACATGGACCAAAACTTTTTCTAGATCTACTATGATCAACGGCGTATATTTTTCTTTAGATAACATGTTGTTTTCTAAGCCACAAATATGAATAAATATTTCTTTAATACTGTAATAAAATAATTTATAAATCTATGGAAAGAAACATATATATAGTGCTTCCACACGGAAAGAAAACATATGTTACACCAGGTTATGAAAAAAAATGTTATTTTAAAGTTATTTAATATTTGGTGTACTTTTATTTTTTTTCATGTTGCAACGCATGGGCACCTTTTCTAGTAAATATATAAAATTGATGTACCAGATATTTCAACGGTATGAAGTTTAAGATGTACTACCTCCGTTTCAGGTTATAAGACTTTCTAGCATTGCCCACATTCATATATATGTTAATGAATCTAGGCATTCATTAACATATATATGAATATGGGCAATGCTAGAAAGTCTTATAATATGAAACGGATGAAGTACTATGCACATATTGTCGACGGGGGATACCCGTAGACCGGATATAGAGGGTATTGGGGTCCGTTGATATGAGGATCTACGTAGTACGACATCAAGCAGACAAAAGACAAGGATTATACTAGTTCAGGCCCCTTGGAAGGTAATAGCCCTACTCCAGTTGGTATGGGATTATATGATGGAAATCACAGATTACAAAGGAAATAACAGAACTCGATGATACCGACGAGACCGTAGTCGAGTTGATTCGACTAGATCACCCGGCGTCTTGCTCCTGTAGGCTTCGACTTCGTAGGCTGTGGTGGATATGTTGGCGGTCAGATTCGATGCCTTAGGTTCTGCCCAGGGGGTCCCTTTTATATCGCGGATCAGGTGATCTCCAAGTAGAACTCGGAGATATCGGACCCCTCACGATATGGTAAAGACCCAATCCTATCCGAGTAGGACTTCTGACTCTGTTTCTCTTACGTGATGGATTTCCTTAACGTATACCGGAGCTATCCGTATATGTACGGGTATACCATATCCGTACTCGTCGTATATCCAAGGGTAGAGGGTATTCCTTATCCGTAACCCTGACACATAGTTTTTAATGTACTCATAATTGAGTGGTCTAAATACACGAGATTACTAAGGGGCGATCAATCGCCCCTAGCGCCTAGAGATGGCAACGGAGAATTCCCCGTCGGTGATTGCCCTCGCGTCCCCGCCCCCGTGGGGTTCAAATTTCACCGTCACCGTCCCCGTCAATCACAACGGGGACACAACTTTTACCATCCCCGTCCCCGCAAAAAACAAAGAACATTTGCTTCTAAAATCATATGCTCTCCTTGCTTCCTTGCCGTTGGACCTCACGAGGAATCCATGGTGGCGGGCTGGCAAGAGCAACTTGCTCCTAACACCTGATAACCTCCAAAGACAGCACAAGTAGCAGCCGCAGGGGAGAGGGACGCAAGGAGGTAGGAGGTGGCTGACGGCGGCTTGGAGGAGGACGACATCGTGGGGGGTTGGCACGCTGGCGACGGACGACGTCCTAGCGGCAGCTACTCGCCTCCAGCATCTCGATCTGGACGGCGACCATCAAGCAACATCAAGAATGCGTAGCGGCGCAGCTCGCTGCTCAAGTTTTTGGAGCGTGGAGTGGAGGGGAATAGGGGATTGTGGATGTGGTTGACTGGTCTTAGGGTTAGCAAGGAGAAAATTGCATATCTACCATCGCATAAGTTTGGATTCGCTGGAATACCATCACTAAAAAGTGTTTCACTAGAATACCACTCTTAACTAGGTGTGTTCGTCAAAATACCATCACAGACGAAAATGCCCCCGCTTCTTCATCTTCCACCTTCGACACGGGCCACACGGCAGCGGCAGGTGAGACGAGGACACGCCAGCTCGCGTCGTCTCAGCCGCGCGCCGTCGCGCCGCTGCCCCGCCGCTCGGCCGGCCTCCGTCGCGCCGCCGCGCCGCCGCCCCGTCCCGACTCGCCGGCCGCCGTCGCCCGCGTCGTCTCAGCCGGCCTCCGTCGCGCCGCCGCCCCGTCCCGACTCGCCGCCCGTGTCGTGTCGGTCGGCCGCCGCCGCGTGCGTCGTCTCGGCCTGTCGCTGCCTCGCTGACGTCGTCTCGGCCGGCCGCCGTCGACGCGCCGCCCCCACCGTCGGCGAGTTCGTCCGCCCGCCTTGATGCGCCGCCCTTGTCGCCGGTGAGTTCGTCTCCGTCGACCCACTCCCCGGTCGACTCCCCGGCTCTGTCGACGTTAGCTGCGGTCTCCTCACACCAGCGCGGTGGGCAGGATGGAAGGCGAGGACGATGGGGAGGGCCGCGCCACCATCGCCGCCGGCAAGGTGGCACCAATGGCACAGCGGTGGATGCCGGTGAGCTCTTCCGGTTGGAGCGAGGAAGAAGAAGAATCAGGGGTATTTTTGTCTAAGATGGTATTTTAGCAAAGATGTCCTGGTTGAGGATGGTATTCTAGCGAAGCCTGATTAAGGGATGGTATTTCAGCGAATCCAAACTTATGCGATGGTAGATATGCAATTTTCTCGTTAGCAAGTGGTGGACTGCTTATATACCTGGTCACTGGGCCTCGATTACATGGGCCAAAATGACTAAAAAGTCTAGAATTAATCCCTATGTACAATAAACGCGGGTCACCGCGGGGGGCGGGGACGGGGAGTGGAGCACCGTCCCCGCCATCCCTGACGGTGATGATATTTGGACCATTAGATTCCCCATGGATGGTAGATATCAACCATCCCCATCCCCTAATATGTGAATTCACCATGGGGAATCGGTGATCGGATCCCCATTGCCATCTCTACTAGCGCCCCCCCCTCTTCTACACGTGGTTTCCTTTTTTGCCACCGCATTATTTTCCTATTTTAGTAAATTATACACCTAAAGTTTATACACCTCAAGTTTATACATCTAAAGTTTAGAAACCAAAAGTTTATATATCCGATTCAAATTTGAATTTGAATTTAAATATTTTTTATATATAATATTTCTATACATCTAAAGTTTATAGACCTAAAGTTTATATGCCCAAAGTTTATAAGTCAAAAGTTTACATACCCGATTCAAATTTGAATTTGAATTATATCCGATTCAAATTTAAATTTGAATTCAAATATTTTTTTATATATAGTATTTCTATACACTAAAGTTTATACACCTAAAGTTTATAAGTCAAAAGTTTACATACCCGATTAAAATTTGAATTTGAATTCAAATATTAGTTTATAGACGTAAAATTTGTAAGTCAAAAGTTTACATACCCGTTTCAAATTTGAATTTAAATTCAAATTTTTTATATATAGTATTTCTATACATAATTTTTTTCAACTTTGTGTTTTTTTTGTTAAATTTATAGTGTAGTAGGAAGGGAAGAAGGAGAGGAGGAAGGAAGAGAGTAGTGTATAGGGGGTGGGGGGTGATCGCCTGGGGCGGTCACCCGCCTATTAGCCGGCCCCCTAAATGCACGTAAATATATGGAATAAGTTCACCGGAGGTCCCTCAACTTAATAGGGAGATTTTTTGAGGTCCATTAACCACAAAATTAGAAATGTCTACCCTAAACTCACTCAAACCGTTCAAAGAAGGTCCCTTAGCAGTATTTTTGCTCGGTTTTTCTGATGTGACATCCTAGTCAGCAAAATAAAAAATAAAAAAGTTATGGGGCCCACATGTAAGTGAGAAGGGGAAAGAATGTGAGACCTGCATATCTTCCTTTTCTATTTCTTCTCCTCTCTCCTCTTTTCGTTCTTCTCTTTGCCACAAAGGGGAGCGGCAGCGGGCGGTGACGAGCGGCCGGAGCAGGCGGGTGAGCGCGCGACGACCAGTGGAGTGGAGTGGGGTGGCGGCGGCGGTGCCGACGAGGCCGGCCGCTCCCGCGCCAGCCGGCGCCACGCGGAGCAGGAACATGTGGCCGTCCTCGACGTCGTGGAGGACCCTCTACCCTTCCCGCACCTCGACGCCGAACGTGCTGTTGCGCCTCATCCCGGTGACCGGCCAGCCGTGCATACCGGTGAAGTGGGCGAGCAGCGCGGCGGGGCCGCCGGCGGCGAAGCCGCAGACTGGCTCCGGGCAGAAGCACGGCGCGTGCGGGCACCTGCCGGCGTGCTCGTCGACGTCGTGGTAGGTCATCCTGACGGCGCAGCCGTGGGCGGCGTTGGGGCAGGGCACCGTGATGGCGTACAGGATGTGGTCGACGGCGATGCAGCGGTTGTAGCCGGAGACGATGTTGCAGACGTGGTAGCTGCTCCTGTCGGCGAGCTTGCCATGGCAGGATGAACAGATGACATGCCCAACTCCACACTAGTACATTGATGAATCACTAGCTCGATGAGCAGATCGTAGCTCGAAGGAGAAGCAATTAAAGAAGGTAATTAGTGATTTAATTTAATTTACATGGAAGAAGACTGGGGGTTCGAGAGGGTTGTAGCAGATGGCGCAGTCCAGAGCTTCCATATTAATGGTGGCGATGGAGCTTCTCCGCCTGGCGGCCATTGCTCATCGTCTCCATAGCTCGGCTGCCGCTTACCTAGTTCTTTTGCGCTGCTCGCCCGCCGCCTGCCGCCGCCGATGCTCCTCCCGAGCCCGGAGCCGCCGCGGCGCAGCCGCACTCGCCCGCCGTCCCGCGTCCCAAGCTCCTCTGCACCTCCCGAGGTGGCGGCGGAGACGAGTAGGCGAGGGAGGGAGAGGGTCGACGGGGAGAGAGTGCCACTCGCCGGCGGTGGGGCCCGAGGTCGAGCACCCGGCGCGTTCGAGCATATCCGCCGTCGAGCTCGCCGTCGCGCCGGCCGCCACCTCTCCTCCTCTCCCGCGGCCACCATCCCTGCTCCGCCGCCGGTCACCTCTCTCTCCCCCACTGCCGACGTGCCCGCTCATGAGTCGTGTGAACCCGGAGAGAACAGAAGAGAAAAAGAAAAAAAAAAGGAGAAATGTGGGACCCACACCATTTTCTCTCACTTACATGTGGGTCCCACAAATAAATTTTACTTATTTTTTATAACTAGTATGCCACGTCAGCGAAACCATACCTCTATACTGCCTTGGGACCTTTTATATACGGTTTAACGTAGTTTAGGGGTATACATTTCTGGTTTTGTGGTTAAGGGACTTCAAAAAATTTCGGTGTAAAGTTAAGGGATGGCCAGTGAACTTATTCCTAAATACATTGCATAATGGTCGTGGGCCAAAAGCAAATGTACTACTATCAGTTAGCAAGTGGGCCAAAAGGGTAGCCGACATATGGATCTCAATACGTGCAGCTCATGAGATAGAAACCGAACCAAAACCAATCGGGAAAAAGAGAAGCAGATCGTTCTGGAAAAGATCGCACGTGGCGCGATCTCGATCGTGTACTAGACCTAAATACTCCAGTTGGTAACCAAAACGGATTTCATTAGAAGATTGTGAATAATTCCGTTCTTCCGGCCTCTCCGTTCGTAGGGGCGGAATTTGCTTCGCCGGGCACAAGCGATCGAGGGCACCACTCCACGGCAAGGTACATATCATCCTCCTCCCTCCCTCCCTCCTGCTCTCCCTTCCTCAAAGTCTTCTTCAATTCCTGCAATAGCCTTATTCACTACATTAATCTGATTTTCGATTTTTGTTGAGTGCAATTTTCTAGCAACGATATGTAGTATTTGTTAAATTCAGATAATTAGCTAGCAAAGATATGTACTCACTCCGTACCAAAAAGAATCAACCTAGGATAGGATCCCGTCCTAGATTAATTCTTTTTGGGACGGAGGGAGCAGTGGATATGCTGCTGTCCTGTGGCCTCTGCCCTTCGCATGCGCCTAGGAGGCAAAGTTAAAATAATGGAAATTATATGTGTTGTAATTTTTGCCATTATGTCTTTCATCATAGTATAAGTCACTTGTGTGTGTTCTTGGTAGACTGTATGTTTCAATTTGTCCTCAACGAAGATTTACCTATGACTGCTTAATTGGTATAGCATACGATCAGTATAGGATTTTTGTCTTAGCCGTAGGAACGTCATGATATATTACATAATTTCTTCCTAAGTGATAGATGCGATGTCACAGCTGCATCAAATGGGTGGATAAGTAATTTTAGGGATGTTTAAGCCGATCGAATGTTTGTTAGGTAGTATCTCTAGTTTTTATAACCGATTTGACACAAGTATGCCTATTCCATTGAATAAAGAAGAGAAAATTTACAGCCCCTATAGGGGCAGAATTATACAACCTCCAGTTAAATCTCTAATAGTTGCCTTGCCCCAACAAGCGTATAGGTCCTCTTTTCTTTTGGGAAAATGTTTAATTTCTTAATATTTACATATCCTGATCACTGCTGCAAATTACCTTGCAAACCTTTTGAGCGCTTGACGGTTTCGTCTTGGCCTGCGCTTGATGCATTTTGCATTACATCTTTTAGTGTTGATATTTTCCTTACGAAATTAACTTTGAGTGTTGTGTTATCTCCCTTATACGTGTGTGCTTTCAGGTGCATAATGCCTCGACTGGGGGACCCAGATGCTCATTTGGTACCGAGAGTTTTTTCTGAGATTGCATATGTCTATTGCATCCACTATTTTAGTCCAAACAAGACCTCCCTATATTTACTCTCAGATTGGTATGATTTATTTGGAGGATGCCTTTTGATGGCATGTAACGCTATGTACTTAGTCCTAGACAAGATTGACTCGCCCAATGCACGACCATGGAGTAGAGGAAGATTTTAGATACATGATTATGCATGCTATCCTTAATTGCTCAGTTCAAATTGAGATGTGATAACGTTGATATGTACAGCATCATATTCTAGTCTAGGATAACTATTCGTTTTACTTGAAATTCGAAGCAGATTGATTCTATCAGTTAATGCAAATAACAGTCCTGGAATGGTCATCTTTGTCATTTCATATATTTGTGCTCTGTGGCATGATATAAAGAGTAGTATTCATATAATTTGAATATCCCGTTGCAACGCACGTGCCACGTGTTCTAGTGAGACTAAAAGCGGGAGCAAATTCCGCTTTTATTAATCTTGCTGTTCTACTATCTTGCTGCACAATTTTATCAATCTTGCTGTTTTACAAGCACGTGTTCTGGTGCTACGATCCCCAGCTTGCATGATCAAAGATGGAGTTTCTTCCTGTCACAAGCACTTCACAATTTTATCAAGGGAATCTTGCTGTTTTACAATCTGATTCCAAGTTGATCCAACTACTGTATGAGTACTGAACTTGCATGGTGCCATTTATTCAGGACTAAGTTAAATAAGACAGTACTAAAAAAACGACAACACTATGCCACTTTGGTATGTTCAGGTCTTTGTTAGCCGAATATACAGTGCGGAGGATGGAACAGGGTGGCATTGCTGACTGCTACTGCTAGGACAACAATTATTTGGATAAACTTTCTTGATTGTTGCATTAGCATCCTCCACAACACCATTTTTATTGACATAATTGTCTGTTGTCTGCCACTTTGTAGTTTGTATTGAGGATTCTGCTGAGTACAGGACTTGCCTACGAAATTCATACATAAAAAAACGGAGGGAAAACTTACCTAGGAAATTCTGAATCCAAGTATAGATATCCGATACTATAAAAAACACGTGCATTCTGAATCCAAGGACCACATATTCGTTGGCTACTCAACAAGGTAGTGCATTCACAAGCATCAAACATTTCAGTTTTCTACAGATAGGCTCGCTAAGTGGCATGCCTTCTACCTGCTACAAAAACCTAAAGTACACATAATTAGCCTACTCGAAGATGGCGATTCTCCCTTGAGCACCATGGTCCATGGTCGCTTCCTCTAATATAAGCAGCTGCAAAATTAGCAAAATAATTTCTCTGCTGAATGACTCCAGCTACTATTTCTTCAGAACCAATTTGAGTAGTCAAAGTCGCGGAGCTTCCTAAAGTGCTTCTCCACATCTTGCCTCGACTTTGCCCACTCCTCTCTTTGGATCACAGTGGTCGCATCATCCCTTTTGGTCTGATACAAACAGCCCACATTAGCCTTTGAAGCCTCCTACTACAACAACATTAGTAGATAGTATTCATGAAACAAGCATAGTACCTTGTCGATTATTCTGAATGATTCCCCTCCATCTCGTATGAGTAGCAAGTCATTTCTCCTGTCCCTCTTCTTTCCTTCAGGGACACTAACCTGTAATAGGCAGCTCGATATCAATAATCTCAACAAAACAAAAATTAATTAAACTATGCAAAAAAAAAAGTGAAGATAAATGCTTGTCACAAATGTCTAGATGAAAAGGCATAGGACTAACTGTGAAACCAATGACATCACAGACCCAGTTTACCAGTCATCCAAATGGTTGCATGCAATATTTCAAAGGATGGAAACCATTAAACTAGTTCCTTCAAATCATCATGCAGATACTAATATACTTTTTTCTACTAAAATTAGTGATGAAAGAGCTCCTGCAACCTAAATATATAATGGTTCTGTTCTGAATGCTTCAAGAATTTAAATTTCAAACGTCTTACCACAACTTTTGCTCTCGTGATTGACCTTGCTTTTGAGTCAATAACATATATCTCTTCAAAATCAAGGAAAAAATCTGGGTCGTTACACCGCCTATTCCTGTAATGTTTTGTTAAGAAAACCTACAGCATAAACAAATATGGAACATATATAAATTTTGAAGAAAACCACAGACCCAGCACATATGTTCTTAAGGTCATATTGGGTAGAAACTAAAAATAGTGTAAGTCTGAGTCCCTGGTGAGAAGAACAACTGGTATTGATTATGACAGACAAAACAAGCATAAAGCAGAAAGACACGTTAAACAAGAATAACAGAGAATTGCTACACTGCCTGGATGGGAATTGAGTTTAAAAATGGCCTAATAGGGGTCCAGTGGTCCACTGACTAGACCCTGAGGAATTTTAGAAGCTAGCTGGTTCAAACTCCTAAGGAATTTTAGTTCTTACCTTATTTCCTATTTAGCAATATATGATCTTTGAGGACAATAAACAATGCATCGGATATCCCACAATTTGATCTATAAATTCAGATAACCACCACGTGGAATAAAACCTGTTGCTAAGCAATTTGGCATGACATGTAATCTTCACAAGTAACTACTACCATCAGTAAGGGCAATTTCTCATCAAACAACAATAAGGTCTCTACTCTGACAAGTATGGCAAAAAAATAGGGAAAAATTTCAGTCAGAATCTTTAAGGTTGGCAACTTCCAGCTTTCAAGCAGCATTACCCACTCAATCTTTCTTTATGACAAATATAATTGCATAACAGAGTGGTAGAACAAATTAGCAGAGGAAACAACACTCTCACACATACCTTCATGATCTCCCTTTCTGTCTTGTATAGGGGATCACGCAAATGCTCAACAGGCGGCTCACTAACATGGTAACGACCAAAATTTTTCTTCGTGCACCTCAAATACTGCTTTCAACCAGGAAAACAATGGTTACACCTCAATGCCCATTTACATTTGCTTGAAACAGACAAAAAAAAAGAGAGAGAGATATATGGGCACCTTTTGCGGCATCGGAGCAAGAACCCTTGGGATGGAATAGATGTCAGTGTCAGGCGGCGTGACATACATCTGTTGCACATTATGAAGGAACACATGATTTAGTTCAAACAACCTAAAAGATTGAGTTGTGTCAATTTGGATAGCACTGCAATGAATGTGTCATGAGATGTTGCATGAACAGGTAGCATTGTCAAATACATGCTTGATAACACAGGCAACTAGCAAAAGAATGTACTAGTGTTAGACAGATAAATGGGATGTATACCTCCCGGAAGTCGAAGACGTCGTCGTCGGGGTCAGGCACCTTGCGGATAAAAAAATCGCAGTGCAGTAGGCGAATCTTGTGGAATTCGTCCTCGTTGACGGAGTAGTCGACCACGGTGTCGGAGGCGGAGTCCTGCGTGGAGACGAAGCTCTGGGCGGCGACCATGGCGATGTCCCCCTCCTCCTCCTCGTCGCCCTCCCCCGACAGCGGGCGCGGCGGCGCCTTGACGGGGGCGAGCAGGCGGTCGTAGTCGACGTCGTAGTCCTGCTCGTTGTCGAGGTCTTCGTCGTCCCCCACGCCGTCCCCGTCGTCGAGGTCGAAGTCCCCGAAGTCGTCGTCCATGTCGTCGTCGCCGTAGGCCGCGGAGACATCGCGCCGCAGGAGGGGCAGTGGGGTGGCGCCGCGGGAGAGGGGGGCGGCGAGGAGAAGGGACCTGGAGGAGGAGGGGTTAGCTAGGGTTTTGGAGAGCGGCGAGGGGAATGGATAGGGGAAGCCGGAGACGGAGACGACGAGAGAGAGCGACACGGTGGCCGCCATGTCTGAGCTTTTTTTTTTTTTTTTTTGCGCGCGCGGTCGAGAGCGAGTATATCCATCCACGTGGGTGTGTAGAGATGAATTAGCACGAATCTTAAAGCACCCAACTTGTTCTCGTTTGTTCTGACGGCGAGAGAACCAACCAACCCTACCTTGGCTTTGCCGGCGGGCGGCGGCGATGGCGGCCGCGACGGAGGCTGCCTCCACCTCGGAGGCGGAGGCTGAGGGGAGGGGCAAACCCATCGTCGTCCGTGTCAAGCGCAAGCCCTCCCAGACCCGCCCCGACGCTTTCTGTGAGTAAACCTTTCTCCTTTCCGCTCATTGCTCCTCCCCCTTTCTCTACCCAACTTCTTAGTGGAAAAAACAGACATGATTTTTGTGATTCGTTAGGGCTAGAGATCAATGAGAGGCCGGTGAAGAAGGCTATGCTCGATTTCTCCAGCCTTTCAGTCTCCGATCCATCCTCTGCTCCTAATAAAGGTATCTACTTCTACTTGTCACACGCTTTTTTCCCTTTCATAAACATATGAGACCGAAGCAACATTTTTTTTTCTTTCAAAAGAACATATAAGTGAGATACTGACGAGAATTTTTTTTCCTTTCATATGAACTGAGGAGAAAATTAGTACTATCAAATATTAGGACAGAAGCAACATTTTTTTTCCTTTCAAAAGAACATATAAGTGAGATACTAACTAGAAATTTAGTACTATCAAATTAAGAAAGAAGCAAATACATTTCCGCATTAATTATAAGGTGAAACGGTGAGCACCAGTGTCGTTTCAAGCATGGCTCGAACACAGGCCTCACACTGAGCTACACCCAGGTTCTCACTTGTGACAAACTTAATCAGTAATCACACCAGCAGTTGCTTGTCTCTGCAAATTGATGCTGGAAGACACTCGTCCTGATACCACAATAGTAGGATTCTACTTACCAGTTAATTAGCCTCCTTGACACCATGATACCGCTAACACAAGTTGCATATACTTGTACTTTGACACCGCACGTAAACATGATATTCACAGTTTCCGTGCTTACAGCTTCAGAGGAACCACGGGTTAAGAAACTTCTGGTACAGCACATTGAGACAGTACACCATTCTGAGGCAGTTCAGGATGTTTTGCACTCTCTTCTGGTAATAATCGTTTTCTTTTCATTACTTTTAAATTTGTCTAGTCTTCCACAATTTGGTTTCCTCGCATGGCATAATCAGTTCAGTTAATGTGTCATTACTCATCGGCATCTGAGTATATCTCTTGTTATTTTTTACTTTTCATGGAGTTATATAGACAATAGAGCAACACAATTCTTTTATTGACTTATGGATACCAACATTATGCAACTAAATTGTCTTTTAAAAAAATATTGCCAGTTGTACTTTACCTTATGACCATAAGGGTTGGACAGTGGATCACAATTACACCATTTTACTTTGTAGCATTCTGACTTGGATGCCAAAGAGATAAAGAGCAAGACAAAGGAATGGAACAACAGAACTAAGCAAGATAAAGTAAGTGAAACTTTTTCCTAGTATTTACTTAATTAATTGTTATATTTTTGCCATGTCTTCAGTTGTTCCCATGAAATTATTATTAATAATTAAGCGTTTCTTTTAGTTTTTTCCTTGAATATTTGAAAGACCCTTCACTGATAGTAGCAACTACTTTACTACTGCTTTATGTATCTTGTTCTTGAAGATTTTGAAATAAGGAAGGATGTTATGTACTTGTTCATATGCTAAAATTGTTCTTTTTTCTGCGAACAGAAACAAGACCAGCTACGGTCAGCAGCCAGACAGAGGCATGAGGTGTGCCTATTTTCTTACTATAGTCAACTTCATCTGCTTAAGTTTTTAGTACTTATTACTAACTTATGTGAATTTGGTGGATAGAGTAAATGAATGAAATATTTTATGGATTGACCAAATCAATATAGGAGAAACAGGGTTTATGGTATTATCTTTGAGTCAACTCTGTTAAGTATGGCCAATCCCAAGTGTTGTTATTGGCATGGGCCTTGCAGAATCATATTACATATGTTAGGTCTTGGTGGCTGGCTGACTACAGTATTATTAGTACCTTTCTTGTCACTAGAGTTTTTTTGGTTGAATCATATGCTTCACATCCAGCAAAGAGACGTGGCAGTGCCTTCTTGTGTTGTTTCCCACATTTTTATGCAAGTTTTTGCTCATTAATCCTTTATAGGATCTTGGAAGAAATGCTCGCTTTGCGCAAATTTGGAGGAGTCGGAAAGGAGACAGGAATGAAGTTGATGAATCACTACGAGAAATATGCCATCTTTATGATGCTGTCCAAGTAGATTCTGATGAAGAGAAGCATCCCACAGAACCAAGGTAAGGTTTTCCTTGTGAGATTTATTAGTTCTTCCAAAATCGAAATGTTGTACTGTTTCATGGTTCTTACGATCTTTCTCTTCAGGATTACGTCTTTTGAAGAGGGCGCAATTTTATGCAATTTTCTTCCACTTATACGGGAACATTTGCCGTCAGCTGCTGAAGAAATTGAATCAGATATTATTTCGCTGGCACAATCGGAAGGTCTGCAACTTTTTTTCCTTCAGATGTTCAAAAAAAAACTGGAAATTTCAATTGAACTTATTTTAGAAATTGTGGATTTTGGTTGCCTTTCCATCTATTAATTCATAGCTGAGGCAGCTAAAGCTAAGATGCTATTCTTGGAGGGGTTATTAGTGTGAAATAAATTCTGCCACTCCTGTGCTAACGGAAAATTGAACAGAACAGTGTTTTTTTTATGGGTTACAACTTTTAGTGCGAGGAAACATTTTTTGTCTTCAATTGTCATGAATGTTTTAATCGTGAATTAGTTATGTGCATAAGGCTCAAACAGAGCGAGAACTTTTGCTCCAGCACTAGTTTTGATGGGCTCGTCTTTTCTGATGAGCAGATTCAGATGTTTATGACATATATACTGTCACGGAGGTGGATGATGATACAACAATGGAGGGCACATCTTCAGCTCCATACCCACTGTAATCTGATTGATGTGTGTTTACTATGGTATATTCTTCTGTGGGGATATTTTCTGAACATTCTCTTTTTTACATCAGATTACAAGTGGACAATGACGATGATGTATGTTATGATGATGACGATCCTTATGGTACAGATGATTCAAATGGTAATTGTACAACCATCCACCTGCTTCCATGGTGAACCAGTGAGTCCTTATTATCTGATTTTCTTAACTTGTCGATCTTGAATATGCAGCGGAGGATAACCCATTATATGATTATCCTGAAGAGTTGTCAGAGGATGAGGATGATGATTCCAATAGCGAGAATCCATTTTCAGAGCTAGACGGTTCTGATCCCGAGTATGAGAAGGAAGAGGTGGAGGAAGAAAGGGATGAAGACGGGAGATAGAATCTATGCTCGGGGTACAAATATGGGTAGTAACTAGAGATAAGATGATGTATGGGCTAGCGCTTGAGCTGGCTGTGATGTTTCCTGTTGGGCTGGCTATATGTGAGAGAACTTTTGGTGTTAGTATGCTGATGAATTGTATTCCCAGCCTCAGCTGTTAGACCTGTAACTCGATATGATCACTGAAGGAGAAGTGTAGGAGTAAGAAGAATGAATTATTAAGGCCGAGTTTAGTTCCAAAATTTTTCTTCAAACTTTCAATTTTTCTATCACATCAAAACTTTTCTACACACACAAACTTTCAACTTTTCTGTCACATCGTTCCAATTTTAACCAAACTTTCAATTATAGTGTGAACTAAACACACCCTAAATCTGGGAGAATTTCCTGGGGAAACCTGTAATCATTGAAGGCATGCATGCAGCTTGTTGTTGGATTAGATAGGTACAGGTCTGGTTTAGGTCCAAAACAAAAATTTTCACGTTGTCACATTAAATGTTTGGACACATACATGGAGTATTAAATGTAGGAAAAAAACAATTATACAGATTACGTGTAAATGGTGAGATGAATCTTTTAAGCCTAATTATGTCATGATTTGGTAATATGGTGCTACAGTAAACATTTGCTAATGATATATTAGTTAGGCTTAATAAATTCGTCTCGTAGTTTTCTAACGGAATCTGTAATTTATTTTATTATTAAACTATTAAATGTGTATCCGTATATCCGATATGATAACTAAACCTAAAATTTTTTCCCCAACTAAATAAGGCGGTAGCCATGCGACGCTCATTGCTTGAGTCATCATTGTAGAAAAAAAGTCTCATTTTACTCACTGTGTGAAGTGATGATGATTCCAGGCCCGGCCAGCCCAAATAGATGGAAGACCAGAAAAGTCTGGACTCTGGAAGAAAGAAAGCGGCGCGGCGGCCGGCGGGGCACGGCACGGTGGACATCACAGGGAAGGAGAAACGCTTCTTCCCGTTGTTCCCAAATCCCAATCCGTGGGAGCGCAGTCGCAGGCCAACGATCGAGTGGAGTCGAGCACAAGGAAAAGGAACGCATCGCCATCGCCATCGCCATCGCCTCCCTCCCTGTCCTGTCCAGCTCACCTCCAAACCCTCCATCTTCTTGATTTACTATACTTGATTCCGGTAACTTCTTCCTCCTTCCTTCCTTCCATGAATCAATAATTTGTGAGTACTCGTTAACTTGGTTGGGTAAACGATATGAGCGTGTTTCTCAAGAGATCAGATGGGGGATGGATGGGATACCTTCCCTTCCTTTATTACTTTTAGGCTTGCCCACCAGTAATTGAGATACCCTCAATCCTGACTTCCTCACACGCTCGCTACCAATCCATCTCATCAACTTGTGCTGCATTCCATTCCATAGTCTTCCTCTTCGCTACTTATTGCATTTTCTATTCTCGTTGCTTCACATGTAGTACAACCGCTCATGGATAAAGAGCCAACCATGGAGGATTTGCCTTCAACGCTGGGGCAGCCTTCTACTTCTGCATCATCGGTATGTGCGTTCTCCGGTTGTACCATGTATGCATTTAATTGCCAAAAGTTTGCCACACCACACAATTACTTGCCTTCTACTTCCAATTTTGTTAATGTTTATTGATAAATCTAGGTTGATGCTAGATATTCAGCCGACAGGACTGAAGATTCACAGCTCTTCCTCTCCGTCCCAGCTTTAAACCAAGCTGCGTCTTATCTGGCCCAGACGGCCTCATATCTTACCCAGTGCCTCCCTGTATCTGGTTACACAGGTTGGCCTCTCCATAACTTCGACGAATGACTCTCTTCTCTTGTGCCAATTTCATTAGAAAATAGTCACGCAATGTGGTAATTCTGCTGCATCTCCTTGATTTATTGCACAGCTATTTCTGAGGAAGGGCAAGAACTAGCAACTCTGCCACCTGCGTCAACTGTTGGTGGATCCTCTTTTCAGGCTTCTTCCGAACAGTCAGCAGACTCATCTCCTGGTGAAATTGATAATACTGGAAGCTCATCTCAAGAAATCACAGAACAGATGGCACCTTTGCGCGTCTTCCAGAATGGGGCTTCACTGTTTCAAGGGTACAGACTGCTTTTGCATTTGTCTTTTCGTCTCCTATGAATTCTAATCAAACAAATAGGTGATAGTGTGACACAAGCTGCAAATAACATATCATCACTTATCATGAATAAACTACGCATGCTTGAACTTTATGAAGTGTTAAGTGCACTTGTTATGCAATTGCCATCTATTGGAACTGGCTCTTTTTTTAGTGCACACACTTCTATTTTATGCACTGTGCCAAATAATCAATTCAATAGGTGTGCATCTAAAAGAACTTGTGCATGAAAACACGTGTCATTTTGATGTCCATTAAGAATAAATTGCAATATAAAATTTAGCTTTCGTGGATGAGGTGTTCTTTTATAAGATGTTCCGGTGTTGGGAGGACTAATCTTTGGTATCCTTCTTGATATCTTTCTGTCAGTCTTGTAGAACGTGCTCGGAAAACTGTTCGTGGCTCAGCCAATGATATTGGATGGCTTCAGCAGGATCAAAGCTTACCTCCAACTGAGGACGGAACTGCCAGATTCTTGGAAATTCTTGATGCTGTGAGGTCAGCAAACATAATAAGTTGCATAAGTTGCATTTCAATGTTTAAATTCTAAGAAACACTCGGGGGTCTTCCGGCTAGCTCCACAAGGTGGTGGGCTAGACGACTTGGGTTCGAAGCCTCAGCCCTTCTAATTATTTGATATTAGGTCCTTCCCTAATATTCGCGCTTTTAAATTATGCAACTCTCTTAATAAAAGATGTAATGTATGCTTCGTCTTCTTTTATCTCATGTGATCATTTGATTCCCTGTCAGAAAAAACGAACACAAGCTGCCTGATTCGATGGTCTATCTGTTGGTTCCAGGCAAGTTTGCTGCCACTTTGGTTGTGAATTCGCAATTTGGCAATTTTTTGTGCTGACATTAGCTTTTCTATTGTTTGCAGGTTTGTTTAGTAACCATGGGCCTCTTTACTTTGTCAAGACAAAATCATATTTCTCCAAGATGGGTCTGGCTTGTCACATTGCCAAGATTCACAGTGAGGTACTTCCATACAGTAATATTCTTTGTTGCTTACTCTTAATATTGTTTTCATCAAGTAACATATAATGAATTATGCAGTCTTCAGTAAGTAAAAATGCAAGGGAGATAAAGGAATATATAGAAGAAATATACTGGGGATCGAAGAAGCGGGTGCTACTTCTCGGCCATAGCAAGGGTGGTGTAGATGCAGCAGCAGCCCTCTCCCTTTACTGGCCACAACTGAAAGACAAGGTCGCAGGTTTGGCTTTAGCTCAAAGCCCATATGGAGGAAGCCCGGTTGCTTCAGATATCTTGCGAGAAGGCCAGCTTGGTGACTATGTCAGGTTACGTAAACTCATGGAGATTTTGGTATCAAAAGTCCTTAAGGTATTTGTCTTGATGAGCTTGATCGTTACCTTGTCGGCCTGCACAATGGACGACACTGATGTTTATTGTTTTCTTTTTTTCCTTCAGGGTGATCTTCAGGCTCTGGAAGACCTGACATATGAGAGGAGGAAAGAATTCCTGCGGCAGAACCCATTGCCTCCTGAGGTTCCCATTGTCTCGTTCCACACAGAGGCTAGCATCACTCCCAGTGTGCTTACAGCCCTCTCTCATGTTGCACACTTGGAGCTCCCAGCTGCAGCTGATGGGAATCCTACTAGGATCCCAGTTGTAATGCCACTTTCAGCTGCAATGGCAGCATGCTCACAACTTCTGGTGGCAAGGTATGGTGAGAAGAGTGATGGTCTTGTGACAAGGAAGGATGCTGAAGTTCCTGGATCAGTAGTGGTCCGGCCAGAGCGGAAGTTGGACCATGCATGGATGGTTTATTCCTCACTCAATGAGGAACCTAGGGATCAGGCAGACACATCGCAGGTATGTGAAGCCCTGCTGACTCTGCTTGTTGAGGTTGCGCAGAAACGGAGGCATGAGATGGCTATGAAAGATGAATAAAAATGTTAGTGTTGCTCTGACAGATATTTGTAATCGTAGACTTCTGTTGTTGAATGTACTGTCCAAACTTATGCTGAAACTGCTTCTGGGCCACTTTTTTTTGTTTGGTTTACAGAAGCTTCATATATCAACTGAATCTGAAAGGTGAAAAGGGCAACAATGGAAGCGTTTCTCTTTTTTTTTTTAATTTACCATAAGGAAATTGTATGATTTGGTCGTTTCTCATGTCTCATGGTATTCCCCTTCCCAATCAGGTGATTCGTCTACTAGGTCTGAATTTGATTATGGTTGTAAGTGTATTTAGGCATGATTCCATGAGTCATGGGTATGCAACAGCTTGAGATCGCAATGTATAGAACTCTTTATATCCTAGTCTGTTGCAGATTCTTCACAACAATTAGCCTAACTTGTGAAAGCGCATTATTTTCTGTTTGTTATGGTGTTTAGAGCTTCAGTGTGCACTATGATTAGGTTATGCTTCATCGTCCTAACTGATTACTACCAGTTGAGCAATTCCTCCTCATCTGATCAACCTTTGACATGTCCACGGGTAATATTGAATTTGTAGACCTTGCTATTTTACTCTGCAAATGTTGTCCACTTGAAGGAATGCAAAGTACTCATCTATGCATTGAACTGTAATTATTTCTGCAGGGAATGGTCCAATAATAGTGTTCAGAACAGCTCCTGCTAGGCCCCATGGGGAAGTCTCCATTCTGGAGCGTGTCCATGGTGTCTGTTGACAATGGGTGGTAGCAAAGGAGGTTGAGAAATAAGGGCAGAACCATGGTCCATCTGGTTGCAGCAGAGGAGCAAAAAAGCTTTATTGGGTAATTCACTCAAATTCAACTATTCATGGTAATAAAATATAACTGTACATACTGTTCATGCTACCTTAGGTTATATCATGCCAAGCATGCATATTACAAGATAGGCATAAATTGGCCATGTTCATGTGCAATTGCTTCCTTTATGCTATGAAGTGGCATGTGAAATTAAAGTGTATGGAGGAAATGCTATATTAGATCTCATCTATAATGTTGTTTCTGACTTCTGGGGCATTTTCAGTTCCATCACATGGCTACTTCAATTTGTCTATTTACCAGTTTATTATACAGCCACAGGAAAAAGAAAAAAAATAATTAGTCATGTGTGCACTTTTCTTTTGCTTAGAAGAAATGCTACCTTTTTTTTTTCTTGTGGATGACAAGTCTCATCACTGTACTCTCACAAATCAAAGGCCAGATTGTTCCAGAGTTTCTAGTATGCTGACAGTGTGACACACACAGATGAACACGGTTGAGGAGCAAGAAAGGAGAGAAGAGCAGGGAGTGGCACATGCGCCAAAAGGTACAGAGGTCCTATGACCACACCACCCATAATCCTGTTCTGAAGCAGCCTACCTGTAAACAGCTAGCTTGCTCTTCTTTGCTTCTGTAATTGTGTTGCTCTGTGCCAGTGCACCCCACCCCCTCGTCCTGACTACTCCTGACATCGTGCTTGCTCCAAACAAAAGTTCACATCCACCAACCATGTATTACATTGATGAACAAGCACTGCAGGTTAGGACGTTTTAAGTTTTAATTAACTGAGCTGTGCTTTTACTGAATAATCATATTCTGAAACTGCAAATTTGGCAGGGAGGACTGAAATCCGAAATGCACAGTACAGGTATATGAGCTGAAATATCCTCTAATGAAATACGCTCTCTTGGACAGTTGCACATGTATGTATTAATTAATTTACAAACAAGAAAGACAAACCGACGCATTTGTTTCTTGGCTCAAGTACTGTACCTGAGGGTGATGCGGCAGTTAGGGCTTGTTCTCTTGCCCAATTTGCACATCACACCAATGTAAGTTCCTAAATTTTCTGAAGCCTGCTAACAACTCAACTAAAAATGCTAATAAGAAGAGAGCCTTGCTAAAGATCAGCAGCAAACAATCTGGTCCAGAAAGCTCTGTTTGTTGGTGAGAGTGACACCAAGCTCGACATAGAACAATTGACAGTGGCTGACAGAGTGACAATCATCCCATTCGGCGGGATGATGATGATGATTCATAGATATAGTCGAGTAAAGGCGAGTGAGTGGGTGTCAACCTCACATTGGTTGGCACTTGGCAGTGTCCAAAACCCAAATGCTAGCAGCAAAGTGTAGTAGAGTTTTTGGCTCCGAGGAATCATTTCATGCGGAAAGACCCATATGTTGATGGCGGTATTACTACTATGTAGGAGTAGCACACTATTATGTTTATTATACCTATGACAATACTGCATATGGAGTGGTAGGCTCCAATCCCAGGTGACGTTGGAGCACAGCAAATGTGGGTACCTGCAGCTATAAGGGCAAGTACTATAATATCTCATATGTTGCCCCTAAGAATGCCACATTGGATTGGGTAATGAGGTGGAGGAGAGAAGTGGAGAGAGAGAAGATGAGCCACTCCTAAATCAAGAGACAACCTCCACACAAATTTCAAGAAGTGTGTGAGAGTATTAGAGATATTAGTATTTGTGTGTTAGAGGTGATATATTGTATGTGTTGCCTCTTAGTTCATGAGTGAATAAAATAGATAAATTTAGAGGTGGTAGTCACATCTACCATAGCACTTGCCCTAAAGGTGTGTGATGAGTGAGCCAACTAGCATCTGCCATGTTTCCTTTGTTACCAGATGACAGCTCACTCTTCTGAAATGCAAACCATCCATTGCAATCTCTGCACTTTGATACCATATTTTAGTGTTATCAGCCTGAAACAACAACTGAGTATCTGTTATTAATCATTGTTAATTGATACTATATACTATATGTGTTTCTGCAGCTCTCCAGATCGAGTGCAAAATCTCTTTACGTTGATTTGTTCTTTCTATCTCTGCAATTTCCTAAGCAAACTTTGTTGAAAAATCTATTTCAGGCATGCGGTTGTTGGCCTGCCAATGCTGAGGAGAAGACGTGGTCTAACCAGGGAGCTCTCATCTTGATATAACTAACAATAAGAAATATAAATGGATTGTGTTCATGCAGCCCTACATGACTATTTTTATCGATCAAAAGAACTGATTGAGTCGTTCACAGGTCAACGTATACACATACAAGTTGCGCTATTCTATGCATGGGGAAGCAACTAAATGGTTGCACTAGTGCCAAGTTGCTAATCGGAGAAGCATTAGCTCGGGGCATGCAGTTCAGTGACAACCATACTCAAATCAGCTTTTCTTTCTGTCGTGTTTTTGTTTCTCCATTTCTTTCTCTTTTTTCTAATTTATTATAGGTAGAAAGATGGATGGGATCCACCGCTGCACGTTTATTGGAAAATCTCTCTTTGCAAGTGGTACTACATGTAAAATGTGGTTTGCAAGCTTAATTGCTGATATGGTTAACTAAATCAAATTGTGGATACGAGAATGACATTTATCCTAGAGCTCACCATGCGATCCAACGAATGAAAAAGGAATTAACAGAATCAAAGTGTATCTCTCATTTACCAATTGTATTAAAGCATTTCATGGCACATTCAAAAGTTTACAAAAATATGTAGCAGAAAAATGTTGAAAGTAAAGAGGCTTCATTGCGATATCATTATTATAGGATAAGTAGAATTTCAAAACATGCTTCTATTCAAAATTATATGCAGTTTTTTTTATAAGATGTTTTTATCTGCTAGATATCATTTATATAAATGCGTAAGCACTAGGCACCGTGTACTCTCTCAAAAGCGATCCCCATCTAATAGCGTCGTTCTAATGGTCATCGCTTCTCTCTTATGACATGAACAATTTTGCGGTGTCACTATGTAGGAGATATTGTCATGTAGGGCTTTTAACTATGTGGATGTAAGAAAAATAAGAGAGAGAAGGATTACATTTGTTGATTAACTAAATTGTTAATTATACTACATATAGTATTTTGCGTAAGTTATCTATATACCATCCATGTATGACGTGGAGAGATTATATAAGCTATAGTCGTGTGAACTTATTGTTCATACCTTTATTCTAGGAGATGAAACTCTAATGCTCACAACTTTCAATGTTTGATTTTTATAAATTTAATGTCCCATCTTTTGGCCATGTACTGATAATATGCTGAATGACATATTAGAAAAAAATTGTGGGTAATATTTTTATATACGTGTCCTTAGAGATTTAAATGCCAATAAAAAATAAATCTTGATGAAAAACTTCAAAAAAAATAACTTTTAAAAGTTAAAACTTATATGGAGCAAACGATGGGGGCCTAAATGTTTTGATACGTTGCCTGAAAAATAATTTAAAGTATATCTAACAACATAATTGTTATTTAATGTACTTTTACTAAACACAAGTAAAAAAAAAAGTTAGGTGAATCCAGTCCAATTCAGCTATGCATGCCACATCCTGCAGTACAAACTAGCTAGAGGAGTCACTAACTTTAGAACTTAGAGGATCCATGCAGCGACCTTTTTAGATGCAAACTTCCATTTGTTCTTGTGCTTAAGCATGACCACTGAACTAAAATACGAGGATTACAAGCTAGGGAAAAAACCAGAGCAAGAAAAGGAAAAAAAAGAGAGAGAAAAAAACAGAAAAGGGGGCAAGAAGAAGCGCACGGCCACGAGCCTGCGCATCTCACACTCAGCACGCCCGGACTCGCAACTCGCAAAGAAGAAGAAGCAGCAGCAGCAGCAAGCGAGAGGAGAGGAGAGGAGAGAATCCAATTTCCGATTTTATTTTATTTTTTAGTAAATAGTTTCCTCGTCTTCCTCCTCCTCCACCTCCCCTCCCCGCCGCTTCCCGTCCCCAACCCTCTCCTCCCCTCTCCAAACCCTAACCCTAAACCCCTCCCACCCCAATCCCGTCCTGTCAATCTTGTCATCATCCTCACCGCCGCCGCCCGGGGCTCCCTCCCTCCCGCCTCCGGATTCGGATTCTTCAAGCTTGCCTGCCGGATTCGATTCTGATGGCTTCGGGGTGACCGCCCGCGAGGAGGGACCAAGCGTAGATGGCATTGGGGGATCTCATGGCCTCCAGGCTCGTCCACTCCTCCTCCTCCTCCGCCGCGCCATCCGCCGCCCTGCCCAATCACCATACCAACCACCTCGTCGATGACCACCTCCCCGTGGAGAATGGACCGGACCCCAGGAGGGACGTGCCCGACGAGGAGCCGCCGCCCCCGCCGCCGCCGCAGGTCGCCTTGCTGCCCCAGGTGGTCGTGCTGTGCGAGCAGCGGCACGAGGGGTTCGACGAGGCCGCCGCTGCGGCGGCCGGGCCCTCCACCAGCGGGCCCGTCTCCAAATGGCGCCCCAAAGACCGGGTAATGGATGCTATTCTGCCTGCTGCTGCTCTTCAACTCTTTGCTGGTTCCTGTTTAGGAGGAGGATTCATAGGGTAGTCATCAGCAATGCGTTTAATGGATTGAGCTATTGATTGGGTTGAGAGGGTGGCGTACTAGTAATTTTAATATCTTTTATCCATTTTGTTCCACATACTATTTGATTGATTATGACGACACTTTCAGTTGTAATTGGGGTTCTCAAGTCATACAATGGTTGATGTTACCTTATCTACTAGTGCTGTGTAAGCAGGACACTCAACTTTATCAACGAGGGCCGCTCAGGTGCAGGGCTAAAAAATGCGTCATTTTATTCAATTTATCATATGTTAATCGGTACCTATGGGACATAGTAGTGCTGTTGCTATATTGTTGCACCATTTTGCTGCATGGTTAAAAGCAGCATGGCGATCCCCGACTCGCCTATATGCATGTTTCAGATAATAAGTCCATCTCTTCTTTCTTATCAGAGCCAGCCTGTTGTTAGCCTTGAGGTTAACAGTTTTGGGCTGGTCCTTGGAATCTTAAATCTAGTAGGGTGGATTTATCCAGGTGACAGTATTTGCTAATTGCTGATTGGCAGTTTGGCACCATCTTGGCAGAAAGAGAAACTTTAGTTTCAGCCGAGTTTGGCGGGGACATTAATTGAAAGAGAAACTTAGTTTCACCCAAGTTTGGTGAGGAAGTTAATAGAAAGAGAAACTATAGTTTCAGCCGAGTTTGGCGGGGAAGTTGATATGTGAAAATTGTGAGTGGGGGCAATGGACAAAACCAGCATTACGGTAGTATAGTCATAATGTTACAGTTTTTGGTTATCCAAGGTAAACCTATCATTATAGGCATATCAGATTTCCACCACATGTTGCTCTAGCATGTGAGCATGCGGTAGTTTAAGGGCTGTAATTCTGCAATGGAATTATGATGATGGACGGGAAGTAGTGCATACTGGAAACAAATGACAATTAGGAACCTTGAGACCCCATCTGGGATAGTTTTATGAGTTGTAAGCTTTCGGGCAAAACAAATCGCTTGTACAATGCAGATGTTTGGTTGCCCCATATATCCTTTTGGACATCGTGGAAATGCTTGGTTCCAACATAAGAACACTCATGTTGATTAAACTATTTCTTTCCTCTTCAGATGACTGATGTCCCTAGTGGGATTTGCATCTTATTTTTATTTATCTAGGGTGGACCATTGTGTTGAACTTTAGTAACCCAGTTTGTGGCATGTGATTCATAAAAAAAAAAGAGAATATTCTAAATTACTATGACATGATGGAGAGCCCATGTACCAATTAATTGCTCCATGGTTGTGGTCAGTTTTATCTAGAAGTAGCTGATCAACAAATAGCTTTGCTTTTCAAATGACTGTCTACGTTGGTCAGAAATCTGTCCCAATACCTTTTGTTTTCTTCTGGATGCTTCTTTTGGATATTCTATATACTTCTATTTGTATTTCTGTTCTTTTTATTTTCGGGTGTACTGTTGGATGTTATTGCTTTTATGCTATTTACTAATAGTGTTTTGGTAGTGCAGATGAAAACTGGCTGTGTGGCACTTGTGTTGTGTTTAAACATTAGTGTTGATCCGCCGGATGTGATCAAAATCTCCCCTTGTGCAAGAAAGGAGTGCTGGATAGGTAAACATTTGGTCATATCTGTATGCTTGAATTTTAGTGAGCTGGAAAATTTACATCTGCCTGCAGCTGGCAGTTTTATTTCATGTTTATGGGATGCAACTCCAGTATTGTTGTATTTTTTCTCTCCACGTGCAAATGTTAGTTAGAACTCATTTAAGCTATATCTTTTATTGACTGCTCTAAATGCCAAACAAGGGTGATTATTTTGTAATCAGAGGTTATTACAGCAAAGACTGGTCTGACACATGCTAGTCTGTAAAATTACCGTTAATTTTCTGTTTGATTATAACCAAATGAGTATTAATTTTTCTGTGTTTAGTTGATTTTATGCATTTAAAAACTTTGATTTGTGAAAACTTGAGGATTGGTTGTAGAGGATTAAAATTTCCGGGTCTGCGTTATAAGATGCTGGACCTGTAAGTTGTGGAGGAGAGGGACTTGATCAATAAAATTTATTATTTGTTGATTGTTCTAGAGTGAGAAAGCTTATCTAAAATAAACATGGTGATTCATCTTTGTACTCCTAATGCGTTTGTACAGTTGCTTTGAGTTTTTCTCATAGCTCTTTCATTTATTTATCTTCAGATCCATTTTCTATGGCACCTCCAAAAGCCCTTGAAACTATTGGGAAAACATTACACTCACAATATGAGCGCTGGCAGCCAAAGGTGAGGCACTTCTTTTGCTGTTTATAGACTTTATTATGATGACATTACTTACGTCATGCCCGAATGATGCTTGCAGGCTCGTTACAAGCTTCAGCTGGATCCGACATTAGAGGAAGTTAAGAAGCTATGTAATACTTGCCGTAAATTTGCTAGAACAGAGAGAGTCCTTTTTCATTACAATGGTCATGGTGTACCAAAGCCTACAGCTAATGGGGAGATTTGGGTATTTAACAAGGTGAATGTTGCAAAGGCACTGCATAAGCTGCTGCATTGTTTATCCATGTGTGTTTTTGACGAAGTGCCCTTTTTTTTTTACTTTTTGGTGCAGAGTTACACACAGTATATTCCGCTTCCTATTACTGATCTTGATTCATGGCTGAAAACACCCTCTATATATGTTTTTGACTGCTCAGCAGCTGGAATGATCGTGAAAGCTTTTCTGGAGGTATGGTATAGTTCCTTCTAATTTTTATACGTACACCAGATACTTGAAGTTGAAAGTGATAATGATGATTTCATATCTGTTTCTGTTGTTAGAGTTTAATATATTTACTATGACTACTCATGTTCACTTTAGCGCCTAGACTGGAGTTCTAGCTCGTCTGCATCTTCATCGAAGGACTGCATTCTCCTTGCGGCCTGTGAGGCACATCAAACTCTCCCACAGAGCGCAGAATTTCCTGCTGATGTGTTCACAGCTTGCCTCACCACACCCATCAAAATGGCACTGCACTGGTTCGTCCCCTTCTCATGTTTGATTGTTGTAGACAGAATTTCTCATGCTGT